ATTCCTTAAATACCAATGTTTTAACCCATATTGTATGTCTATCAGAGTTGAGAGAAAGAGAAAATTAGTAAAAGTTGCAATTGTTACCACTGCTATTTTCTGTTATTCTTGATCACCATAAAGCAATAAATCGTTCAAAGTAAATCATATCACACTCAATTGATTAAACATTGATAATTATCATTTATATATACTCCGTTCTCTTTTTCTGGGGAACTTTTTGATATATGTGAGGAATAATAAGGATTACTCTTTAACTTATATATTGAACAGTTGAAAAGGTCATTTTATAGGCAACTCATTCACCCACACGAATTTGGAGATGTTCATGATATGTTTCCTGTATACGATGAACTAACCTGGATGGTTAGGTGTAGTTAGAAAGTATGTGTCCTAGATGGCTACAAAGACCATTGAGAGGTGCTGCATCTCTTTCCAGGTGACCATAATCTTTTATGAATCCTTAAATTGGGGGCAATGACATGATACTGGAGAAGGCTCTTGAAAATGAAACAAGGCTTTCCTACTCTCCTTGATGCTTGATCTATGGGAGTATTAGTGATCAAAGGTTGGGCATTGGAAGCTCCTGAAATCATGTCCTCTTTCAGGGTATTATCAGAATCCTCCAGAGAGGTGTTATAAGACAATTATAATGCTCTAGAAAGGGGCGAAGAGTTCTGAGAGATGAAAATACATTAACTCACCTCGACTAAGACCATGTTTGACTTTTCTTTCACACTTGACATCTCCAAAGTAGTATTAGTTTGTTACTCATCATAAGATCTAAGTATGAGGACCTTATTCAACCTATTATCCATGGTTGACTATCAGCTGATGGTGTTGGGTAAAGGGATTCGGGATGTTCAGTGGATTTACTCGACTCGTGAACTAGCTTATAATCAAAGTGATAGACTGCCTTTATATAAGCTCAGATATAGAGGAATCGGTTTCTCAAAGGAAAGTACTCGAAGCAAAGGATAATGATCAGTATTAATCAGAATTTTACGTAATACTCAAAGATTTTATTCTATAAACTACTTCCAGTCCTTCAAGGAATAATTGCATTCCATTGTTGTCAGGGTGCGTGATGTAAACATAATAAGACCTCAATCATCTTCCCTGACAATGTACCATCAGCCACTAAGTGGGGATGAATAATCGAAACATCAACTGGTGTAACTTCAGCCAGGATAAGCGGAGGAAGTTTCAGAATGTAATGTGTCTCTAGATAGTAAGTTAATTGCCTATTTATCGATTTTCTTTTCACGCCCATTCAAACCAAACCCAATGGCAAGAAGGCGATGCATCTATTCAAGAATAGTTTACGTCATTTCGAAGAAAATTCTACTGAGCGAAATTAGTCCTTTTCTGGAATTAGACAGTTTCTGTTTAATCTTTGATAGCTGAGACCTTTGTTTCTGTGGGGTGCCCTCTTTTGGCATCAATCCAGAATATAGGATGTCATTGAGCTTGTCTGCCTAACACATTTATCTGCATTGAGTTCTAAGCCAGTTTTACCACGTACATATTTATTTATTCTTGTAATATTGTACTTGTAGAATATAATCGGAATTCCTTGAGTGTTGCATCCTTAACATAGATATTATCCTAGTATGCTATTATATCGGCCAATTTATCTAAGTCTTTTACAGCAAGGTTATAAAAGTCAAAGAAGTGATTAGTGCTGGCCAATGGTGTCAAAGGATGAGATACTAATGACCTTTTTGAAGATTTCTCGTTCGGTTCTGAAGCCTTGTACTATGGCGTGAGGGATGGAGATTCTTATTAAGTCGTTGGACCTGTTTAATTGTATCCATGCTGGAGTTAATGAAATTAAAAAAGGACTCGTCGGAGATTCGGCCAATTGAGCTTCAAACTATGTCTTTTCATTCACTATCAGTCACAAATTTGGTTTTAATATAATTACTGTGTGGATTATTGATGATAGTTTGTTGATTTTTTTTGCATATCATAGATGTTAGATATTCAGGACTGAGGCATTTATTTTGGTTTTCATTTATTAGGAATTTTCTTGCCTTCCTCAAACACAAACATGTGTGGTGATCAAGGTGAAAATAACACACAAACTGAAATAATGTATTTACGGTAAATACATGCCTGGAATTTAGCAATCTTTTCATGAACATCGACTAACCGGGAACGGTACTTTATATCATCGATTTTACTCAATTTTACAATTTACTCCAAAACGGCTTTAACATTTTGATTAAACTTATTATATTGATGATAAATTGAATGCTCTTTAATATCACTTATTTCTTATCCTCATTGATAAAGGCTAAATATATGTCCACCCTATCATACCGTCTAACAAGGGAAAACCAAGCATGGCTGGAACAGCTTGGAATCGAGAATGTTGATGAATTCGTATACCTTGGTTCATTGATAAATGCACGAAATAACATTGATTGTGAGATAGACAGGAGGACCGCAATGGCAAATCGGTGCTATTTCTCCCTCCAGAGACATCTTCGCAGTAGAATGTTGTCAAGACAGGCCAAAATAACAATATATAAAACTCTTATTAGACCATTGCTCACATATGGCTGGGAGAGTTGGACCTTAACTAAAGCAGTTGAGAAATCCCTGCTCAGATTTGAAAGGAGGATTATACGACGCATATTTGGAGGGGTCCAGGACCACAGAATTGGAGGAGGAGAACGAATATAGAAATAAAGAGATTATTTAATGACATGGATGTGAGCCAATTCATCGTACTGGCAAGATTACGCTGGGCAGGACATGTTGCGCGTATGGATATGAATGCACCCCCACAGAGAGCTATGAATGAGCCTGTGTTTGGAAACGGACGAGTGAGAAGACCATGTTTGCGCTGGCAAGACTGTGTGGCTGCTGATGCATGTAGACTACTTGGTGTCAGAAATTGGAAAGCTGCAGCAACTAACCGGGAGAACTGGAGATCCATGCTGGAGCAGGCCAAGTCTCGAATAATTGGGATGTAGTGCCATTTAATAATAATAATAATTGATAAACGCGGACGTGGGTTAAATGCTAAATGCTTTTCCGAAAATATTAGTAGTAATCAGAGGTGGCCATCTCCCCCAAGGTCGATTGTGCATGAACCTTACCCCCTCTCAAAATACTTTATTGCTCTCATCTTCTTATAATCATTGTAAGGGAAAGTAGAATTTAAAAAATTGTATATTATAAACAATTCCACTTATTGCTGCCTGTTCCATGCTTTTCCTTGTCATCTGGTTTGAAGCTTTTCATTCCGGAAATTCATAACCACGTTGAAATGTGTCTCCCTCAAAAATTAAAAACCCCATCAAAATGTCTCCCCCCCCCCCACCCGCCACAAAAATTTTGATGGTGTAACTTAAAACCCATGAAATCCCTTTCTGGGCACCCCTGGTAGTAATGTACAGTATACCGTTGGAAAGGTAAACAATAAAGAAAAAATAATGTCTTACACACAAGGTTTAGAAAGTAATGAGAGTGACGAAAAGGTAATGATATAATTATTATTCAATGGTAAATAAACGTTTCCTTTGAAACTGAATGCAATTCTCATAAAAAAATATATGTAAAACTTTTTCTTTTCATCTTGATAAACTAAAACTATAGTGCACAAAATTGCCATAATGTTACCCTACTTAAGGAAAAATATAGGGATGGATTTGGAGAGAGTAACTTTTCAAGAGCTGTGGTTAGGAAGTAGGGTAACCATCCCTCATACTACCAGTGATTTCTTGCAGAAGCACGGTGTTGGAATAAATCAGATAGAGACTATTACTTTAGTAGTGTGGATGTGGTTGACCGTAGTTGCTAATTTCAGAAGAAGTTAGTCTGGGGTGCGATCAATATATATAATAGACTGTGGAGACAGCAGTCTCCATACTGCTTCCGGCAGTGCCAGATGGAATGCTCTGAAGAAGCCCTACATTGTAGGTCGAAACGTTGGATAATTCAATAAATAAAAAATACTATTATATAATATAGTATTTCATATATTGACCGCACCCCAGCCTAATACTGAAACTATTATTTTAGATTCGTTAGGAATCCTCCATCATCACATATATCTTTGCCTTCGCTTATATGCTTTTCTACACTGTTTTCAACATTTTTACTGTATATTAAAATGGTTCCACCTAACTGTCCTGTGTTTTGGTTTTAAATAGTAACTGTTGACTGATGAGTATGCTGTGAGATACAGTAACTTAACCCAGTTGAGCAGCTGTGCAATATTATTGTAGTTCTCTCTAGTCTTAAGTTTGTATTTATAATTAAAGCGATATTCTTCAGATTTATTAATTTAAAAAACAAAATTATACTTTTTATTTTACTATTATTCCTTTTAATTTTTTTTTTATTTTCTGTATATGTGAATAAAATCTTTTATCATTATTACTAATGTTCTTAATTGTGACAAAGTGTAATATAACTCAATAAAAACAGATATATTTAAAAATATCTACTGAAAGTAGGTTAGTAAGTGAAAGTTGTGTGATACATTGCACCAATCTTTTTATTGTTATTGATACGTTATTCATATATTTATCAATATTTTTTCTATAGAAAATATTATATGGTATATTTAGTTAAATTTTCAGTAAAAAAAAATGACAAACAAATGAAAATCTATTAAAAATAATAAATTAGGTTTTCACATACCCCCCTTCATTTTTACTTTTTACTATCAATGATTCATCATTCATTCTAGCCATTATTTTTTGACATATCACTTACAACTCATTCATAAACCCGTTGCTAAGTGGCTGCCAGGCCTAGCAAAAAAAGAAATCCTACTAATTATTGGGCTACTAATAGGCCACTGCAGACTTAAAAGACATCTAAAGATGTGCGCTATAGTTAATGATGAAACCTTCCCATCTGTGCAGTCAAGCACCGAAGACTGTCCTTCACTATATAACATAATGTGCACAATTCGCGTTGCTTGGATACAGGTTTCTGGGTTCGGATAGAATCCTAGAACTGGAAGCTTCCTTTATAAAATGACCATGTCTTTTGAACTTCATCAGAAGAATGAAAATATTTTAGACAGAAATGGAGGTGATATAGACTATCATTTGTATTATTGTGTCTGAGATTGATGCAAAAGGCCAATAAGCCCATTTGTCGACTCAGCTCGGCAAGTCCCCCCACCAGTACTAGCTCTGCGAACTCACTAGGAAAACTTCCTTTTTAACCCATCTGGCGCAGATTCAATAAAAACACATAATATACTCTATTTACGGAATCTTTTATTAACCCTTATCGGTCGTAAGTCATCTCTCAAGTGACAACATGTATAAAAATAAAAGTAAGCTATAATGAAAAATAATTAAGTGAAATACATATATTATATTAAATACATCACCTGCGAGATGTATTTGAGTTTGGAGTCAATAGAAACATACTGCGTCAGGAGCTTCGCATTTCACGGCGATCCAAAAACTACTTTTTGGAAATTTTTTATCCACCATCCAGAGGGAGGGTCGCCCCCTTACAGATTTCGCTAGTGCTAGTCACGATAATATTTATTATATATATTACATTAGAAAATTCATCTATAAGGATGAATTTTTCCTATATTTTTCTTTTCATCAAACAGTTGCTTAAAATATTAGTTTTCGAAAGGAATGTCCTTCGGAGGATATTTGGCCAAGTTAACGAGAATGGTGAATGTAGAATTAGACGCAACCAAGAACTAGCTAACTTATACAAGGAGCCGAATGCGGTGAAATATATCCGGATGTATGTTGTACGGATGGACGAGAACTCAATCCCAAAGAAGATGCTGAGCATGGATTCGGTTGGAAAAAGAAAAGTGGACCGACTGAAACTGAGATGGAAAATGGAGTAAGTGCTAATAACAGAATCCATGGAATCAGGAACTGGTGGAGGCTGCTCAGGACAGGGAACCATAGAGGAAAACTCTTGAGGCAGCCAAGATGCAGTAATGGATTTTCGAGCTCAGGATGATGATATTGATTACATTAGAAAATTCGTTTATGAGGATGAATTTGTCCTATATTTCTCTTTTCTTTAAACAGCTGCTTTTTGGAACTTTTCTCCAATCATCCCGGGGGAAGAGGAGAGCGCCCCCGGCTGGATCCGCTAGTACTGGTCACGGTAATAATTTTTTTATATCACAGAAAATTCCTCTTTGAGGATTGATTTTTCCTATATTTCCCTTTTCATTAGAAAGGTGTTTTTAAAAACAAAAACTTCCATCATCCAAGGGAGGGCGTGCCCGCTGGCAGAATTCGTTATTGCTGGTCCCGATTATAATTTATTTTTTATTACATTAGGAAATTCGTGAATGATAATGAATTTTCTCTATATTTCTCTTTTCTTTAAATAGGTGTTTTTGTCCCTTTTTTCAGATTTTTTTTCCACCATCTAAGGGAGGACGCACTCCCTGGCAGAATTCGCCAGTGCCGGTCAAGATAGAAGTTTTTTTTTTTTTTATTACATTAAGAAATTCATGTATGAAAATGAATTTTCCCTACATTTCTCTTTTCTTTAAATAGGTGTTTTTCTCCCTTTTTTCGAATTTTTTTTCCACCGTCTAAGGGAAGACGCGGCCGCTGGCAGAATTCGCCAGCGCTGGTCACGATAATATATTTTTTTATATTACATTAGGATATCCATCGTCTATGAGGATGAATTTTCTCTATATTTCCCTTTTCTTTAAATAGCTACTGTTTGGAATTTTTTTCCAGCTTCCAGAGGGAGGGCGCCCCCCCCCCCCCGCCCATCGGCTGGATCCGCTAGTGGACCAAAGACATGGCTTCGGTGAGTAACGGCCTCTACGGGATAGAAGTTGAAGTATTCTGAGCAGAAGAAAAGATTCCAGAGCTATTTACGAAAATTAAGGTGTAGGGTTTGAAATAAATGGGATTTTGTTCTGCACCAAGTGTTCTAAGAAGTGCTCTATCGAAAAGTGTACCCAGGCAATACTGTTTGTTTTTTGAGAAATTAATGAAAGTAGAATTTGTTTTTATTAAAACCATTTAAGCGGGAAAACTACGCAAAATATTTTTAAATTATGGTGTTGCCATTTTTTTTATTGATCTCCTACCAGAGTTTTGATTTTCGGCTTTTAGAAAAACTTCATTTAGCCTAATAATATGCTTTCATTCCATTTATGTGAAGTTCAGTTCTGTTACAGAACAAGCCGAAATTCGTGTTTAGTTTTTGAAAAAAAAAAATTGAGTGATTTTAAATTCTGTCTCATCAATGTAGCAGTGTTTTCAGAAAAACTAATTATTATAAATCATTAAAAGATTTTATTTATGTATTTTTACTATTTGCTCATTTATTATAATATTTCTTTATAAGGTTTATTATAATAAATTAATAACCAAATAAACCTTTTTATTTAAAAAGAAATAAAATATTCATCGTGGGGTATAACAAATGAAACGCTGGTAGGAATAATGAAATTTATTTATTGAATAATAATTATATAAATACCTTTTACGTTTGTCCCACACTTGGGTTGTATTGAAGTAGGTTCATCTTGTAGCCACTATATATTATGGATTCATGATGTGTTCAAATAATCATAAGTATTGTTGCCCAAAATTGGTCTTGGTCTTGCACTTTGTTAAGACCAAGACCAAGGCCGCCTAACGGTTGCAAGACCAATACCAGGACTGATAAAAAAATCGATTTTTTAAATAAAAATTAAGGCAAAATAATTACTAATACTTGACAATCTTAGTTACTATATGTTAATGATTGGTATAACCAAAATACTTTTGCATTTAACTACTCTAATTTTTCATTCGGGCTTAGTTAGGTTTCTCCTATCTAAAATAAAAAATTACAGTAATATCTATAGTAATAAGGTAATAAGTAACTGCAAGACTATTGCGAGACTCTAGCGCAAGACCAAGACCATAACCAAGGCTGAGTTTGCAAGACCAAGACTTGTCTCGGGATGCATTTGGACAACACTAGTCATAAGCATATTTTCTTACATTATGGTGCAAATAATGATTTACCAATAATCGTAGGTACGGAATAAATGATATAAAATCATCTTCCGTGTTCTTGAAACATGCAAGATCCGTTCTTGGATTGTTAACAATTTGGTAAGTTCTCCCCAAGAAATGTCACCTCAGAAATTATCCAAATGCCGAAGTTTCTTACTTGGCTGTTCTCCCGGTTGTTAACGTTCGTCTATGCTGTCAAGGGCTAATATCGTTTCATTATCGGATAGAATATGATTCTATTTTTATTCGAAAATAGGTTTTCTCTTGCTAGTTTAGGTCTCTGTCTAAGGTGTTCGGCAACATGAAGTGACCCCCAGGTCTTCTCGAGCTAACGTTGGGCTCTTTGAGTGTTCTTCTCAAGTGTGATTCTGTGAATGATATACCGTGTATACGAGCAAACCCAAGTTTCTTGCGCTAGAAAATTTTGAATTACATATACTGCTTAACAGGATTTCCAATGATATTTGGAGCTTTTTGGGATGTCCTGAATGAATCCTCTTAGCGACTCACTGTCTCTATGTACCCTTTTATGGCCATTGAAACTGTAGAACCAAAGGAATAATGAATCTAACGTAAATGTTTTCCTTCTTTGGAATGAGGAAATATTCCTATTGTACCATCGTGCCTTAAACGATTCAATATCACACTTATATTATATATTAAAAAGGAAAGAGGCATATTATATTTATTTAATCTCCTAACAGCTACATGACATCAAAACAACTGATATTTCAGGCATCAATTGGAGAACGCTGAAGAGGAATTGAATGACGGATCTGCTTGTTTATCCAGTGAGGTATAAACAAGTCTGGAGATTGTACAACTTGTGCGTCTCGTGCCTTACCACGTTATTAATCATTGTACAAACACAATGAATATAATTATTGCGTTAAAATAAAGAAAAAAACATTCAACCCTTCGTTTTTGACAAATGTGAGTAACAATGATATGATTAAGCTATAATGTCTTTGTTTAATCTAATTCCATCACTAGTTGGAAGTTTAAATAGGAACAATTATATTTCCCAAATTATCCGAAAATCTATTGCTACCTTAAAACAGTTCCTAAGATTCTGTGATTCTATACCCCTGAAAACCTGTCAGCTCCTAGTTTCCTCTCTCATTTTACTTTACTTCGATAATGGCTGCCTTGTATACGGTGGACTGTCTGGTAGGCTTCAGATCAGATTGACGAGACTAAGAATTATTTCATTAGATTCATCTTTGGAGTTTCCAAGCGCTCCCACGTCTCCAGTTGGTATGCCGAGTTTTGAAGTGGCTCTATCCAGTTTTCCGACGGCAATATTACCTAGGTGTTTTCCTCATCCGACCTTTCTCAACCAAAAAATCCTCTTAATTTCTTGATTTGTTTACTCCTTGCTCCTTTCATTCGTTCGTTCACCTACTGTCGTCTCCATACCTTTATTGTATCCTCCTGGCTTATCTATTCATATTTGTTTGTTTTCAACATTCAACTGAAGAAAAGATGGTTCTTGCATAAAAAAAAATAAGATACTTATAGGTATTCGCTGGGGTGTCCTTACCCCTGTTTAGGTCAACGTTGCATAAACCTCCTTTCCTCCCCCTCCCCCCCAACGTATTTTATTACTCACGTCTTTTAAAAAACAGTGTAAGCGATATTAGAATTTAAAAACCGTAAATCATATGAAATTACACTTTCTGCGGATGCGGTATGTATCATATTTCCCCTTGTCCCCTGTTTGAAACTTTTCATGCCGAAAAGTCATAACCCCGTTGAAATGTGCCCTCCTCAAAAATTCCAAATCTAGTCAAATAAATTTTGAAGGCGCAAGTTGCGGCATGAAACCCTCGCGTAAACTCCTGGCTATGTAACCGAAAACTACTTGTCAAGTAAGTGATTTTATGACAGACCGCAGATTATGGATTTCTTTTTTATATTTTAGTTATTTAAACAGATTTAATTTTTATTATAAATGCTGTTTACAATATCTAATCAAATATTCAGGAAATCGTCATATTGATATTTTTTTTTAAATTTATTTAATGCATGTAATCAAGTTTCCAATCATATTCTCAAAACAATACCCAATGATATTCCCATTATAAAATATTTTTTTATCACTATTATCTGAAGATATGTAGAACAGTCGACTAACTGATTATCTATCGTAGCTTGTTTGTTTATTTTTCAGATCGCAAACAATT